GGTGGTGCTCTTTTATATTGGGCTTGTACAGCTTCTTGCATACACTGGTCTTTTGTTGGAATTGGAGTAGGCCAGTGGATTATTGTCATATTGTGTTTGAGGCGGCCAGGACTTTTTCCACAGAATTAGGTGATAAAGGTTGGGGTGTGAGTCAAGAGTGCTGTGAGTGGGAAGTATAACTGCAGCAGCTCAGGATTCACAAAAGGCCACGCCCACTTTTGAGGATGCCACACACCCCCACAGTGGAGGCCACACCCCCAGCCAGTCTGGATGCTAGTCCAAAGACCTAGGCCGAATGACCTGTGCAGAGGAAAGGCAGGGGCTGGGTGTGTGCATGCCCAAACTCTGGAGGGTGCCCTTAGGGAACTGTCCAGGAGGCAGGCCAAGAATCATTCTTGGTGGACTCAAGGCACTATATGGTGTGCCAGGAATTGAGCCTGGGTGGGTTTCATGCATAGTGAGGACCTTACGTAGAGTATCTCTCCAGCTCCATGGCTCCTTTCAGTAGTGTAATGCTTTTAAGGTTCATTGATTTGTCTCATGTACCATGGCTGAACCACAATCGACTGCACAGACCGAACCTAAGTTGCTTTGCTTGTTTACCAGTGGAGCGATGTTTGTATCGTTTTCAAGTTTTGGAGCTCATGTATAAAGCTTCTCTAAACTTTGTGAAATGGTGTTTTTGTAGTTTGTCTAAACATGTCTTCATTTCTCTTGGGTCACTAAAGGCCTAGACATAGGAATAATATTCTATGGAAGTATATGCCTAATTTTATAGAACACCGCTCAGTTATTTTCCCAAGATTTTTAGTGGTTTTGGATTTCTAGTAAGGAACATTGAAGTTTCCGCCGCTCTAATTAAACTACACCTGTTCCATAATTAGAATAAGATTTTCTTTATTTGGGACAGGAAAAATGGCACCAAGTTGGTGTACAGAATATAAAGATAGTACAAGCACTTGCCTTGATTCTTGCTTGTGGCTGACCCTGGTTCAGTCCCTGGCATTGCATATAGTCCTTTGACCAATGCCAGGGGCCACTCCTGAACATAGAGCCAGGGACAGCGCCTGAACATCACTGACTGTGGCTTATTCTCCCCCCCCCCCAAAAAAAAAGAACACCTTTCCTTCAAGTCTTGCTAATAGTACATTATATTAAAAATGAATGTATTAAGCTGCATCTTCTGTTTTCCAAATACATTATGGCTAAACTAGATTGCACCTTGAATTCCATTTTGAAAATATTTTTTGTAAGTTAATTGATCCAGTGGGCTAGAGCGACAGCACAGTGGTAGGACGTTTGCCTTGCACGCAGCCAGCCTGGCTGAGCTGGGTTAGATTCCTTTGCCCCTCTCAGAGAGCCCGGCAAGCTACCGAGAGTATCTCACCCGCATGGCAAAGCCTGGCAAGCTACCCGTGATGTATTCAATATGCCAAAATATAGTAACAACAAGTCTCAAAAAAAAGAGATGTTACTACCTGCTCAAGCAAATTGATGAATAACAGGAGGACAGTGACAGTGACAGTGAATTAATCCAGTACGGAATTTGAAGGTAAAAATTAGGATTGATTTGTATTTTCCATATATATAATGATATCATTTCCAAACATTTTAAATTTTGGTCAATGTATTTACAGTTTCCTAATTATAGAATAGATTGAGTTCAGGCAAGTCTATAAACCTTTACTAGTATTTGAGTCATTAGTATTTGAACTAAAGTTTCCAATGTAGTTGACAAGGCCATTCCATCTTTATTTGGAGCACGCAGCAGTCCATGAAAAGAACAACTTAGAAAAGCAGGATTACTTTACAAAATTTCCAAACCAATGAGAGTTTTAATGTGAGTAGAATTGCTCTCGACAGAGGATACATGTCATTTGAACCAAAGTGGAATTTTCAATTGCCCTTTAAGTCACTCAATAAAGTAGTAATAGAATTTATGAGTAAAATCTGATTTCTTTTAATCCCAGAATAGCCATACTGGCATGCATACACAATAATATTTGTATTATAGTATCCTTCCATTTTATCCTGGGAAAAACACCAGAAATGAAACTGAATTTTCCAGAGTAGAAATCCATAGAATTACTTTTTCCATGCTGTTTTCTTAGTACTGATTTCTTAGAATAATTTGTGAAGATTCTGACAGGATCTAAATATAAATTCTAAATATAAATAAATATTAAATATAAATTTTTAAAAAAATGAAACTTCAGCACATGTGACTTTTTCCCAAGACGTAATTTGTATTATGTAGGAATTTTTCAAAATGCCTGGCTTGATCACTCAAAAAAAATTAATTTGTAATTGTATATGCAATTGACACACAATGAAGATATTTTGGCAAAATAATGATTAAATTGTGATTTAGAGTGAGATCAAACTCCTTTTTTTAATTTTTCTGTCTTCCTATTTACCACTAGATTCTGATATAAGCAATATGAGAATGGTTTTCAATAATATAAATTAAATTCCAGTAGAAATACATCTTCTCTAGATAGTGTTCAATCTAGAAGTACTATTTACCTTGAGTGGTCCACACATGAGAAAATTTGTGATTTTTACAATTTTTTTTTTGTTGTTGGGACACATCTGGAATTATTTGCTAGCGCTGGACTCAAGGCTCACTTCTGGTATGGCTTGGAGGACCATATTGGGTGCTGGGTTGGCTGTATGCAAGGCAAAGCTTACTTACTGTACTATATTTTCAGCTCCAAGTGGTCAATTCTTTAACCTACGGCTACACAAATAGAGCAAATGGAACACTTTGGAACAGTTGAGCCCATACTATGGAATGACTGTATATTTAGATTCCTAAGCTACTTTACAGGGATTTGTCTGCCAATTACATTTTTTTTTATGAATCTAGAGATAGTTATTACATTTTCAGTTCCCTTCTTCATGGTAAATGAAAATAATCATGAGTAGTTTACCCAGGTCAACACATAATTTTCTTTTCTTGTAATCATCTTAGTTTTATTTCTTTTTAAAAATTATTTTATTTAAAGAACTGTGATTTACAAAGTTATAAATAGTGAAGTTTTAGGTATATGATATTTCAGTATTTTAATCCCATCACCAGTTTCAACATTCCTCCACTCATTTGAGTTTTCTGTTAGTGTGCCCTATGTTGTATTATAGTCAGATGAGACAAATACTGATCCTGAGCATTGATTATCAGTTAATAGTCTTCCTTTTGTATCTTCCCTGCTAACCCAACTACAAAGTCTTCTTTTCTATTAAACTAAGTTATATTCTTAAAGTATGTTCTGTGAAATTACTTAACGTTGTTTTTTAAAGAATAATAGGACTTTGAATATTCAGTTTTTGCATTTTTGTTTCTTCTGCCTATAAATTATTCAATGATGTTGGTGAAATAGTATAAATTTTGCATTTGAAATGATCTATTGGGAAACAAGACTCTTTCTGTATCTTACCATAAAATATTCTTTAGGCATATGTAGACGTAATAGTTTGTCCACTAGTTGCCTAAGCTGTTCTCAGTTGTTTAATTTCTTTGGTATCTTGTATAGTAGAAAATTCTAGTAGTACTCAAGAAAGACTAGAAAACTGAAGGGTGACATTAAAAGGTTTGAGGTTAGTAATTTTACCTTTTAAAACGTTATCTTCTTCAACTAGAAATTAATAAATATTGATATCTTTAAAAATGTTGGAAATGAAAACTTAATTCCCATGCATCACATTTTTGAGGAAAACTGAAATAGAAACATACTCATATCTTGCCCGCACGGCAAAGCCTGGCAAGCTACCCATGACACATTCAATATGCCAAACACAGTAAGAAGTCTCAAAATGGAGATGTTACTGTGCCCACTCGAGCAAATCGATGAACAACGGGAGGACAGTGTGTGACAGTGTGACTCATATAAGAGTGAAGAAAACAAATGTTTTAAATCTGAGTTTGCTTGAAGTTCTTTTCTATTAAATTATGGCAAGATTCCTAGTGAGTATGCACCATATTTGCATAAGTATTAAAATAATTTATCATGATTAATTCCATTATAGTAAATCTCAACCCTAATCACAATCTGCCATAGACTATAGTGGTTTGTCAGTGTTTCATATTTTGCTGGCATTTTGGTGGAATTGCAGCTCCTCTAACAGAACAAATGTCATCTGAGTCTACAGTGATTAATGTGGTTCTGAAGGAGATCTAATAACCATTAGCCAATTCCATAAAGTGTTACAGAAAAAGAAAAAAATATTGAATCTCCTAAAATGTGCATTTTAGGGACTGGAGAGAGAGTACAAGAATTAGGTCACATGTACCCTGCTTGTGTTTGATACCCCACACTTCATAGTCTCCTGACCATCTCTTCGTGTGGCCCTTGAGGTCCCTGATCATTTATGGGGTGGTTCTGTAGATCCCCAACACTGCAGGGCCTAAGCAACACCACATCCCCAGGTATTAGCACTGGACAGGTGGTCTTTTGGTTGAGTATTGGCAGTAATGGTCCCCATACTCCCTGAGCAATGCTTTGGAGCTCTCCCCACCCCACTCCCATCCAAAAGAGGACATTTTAGCAAGCACTTCTGTGAAAAAAATTGCATTTCTAAAAGGATAAAGAGTTTGAACCTTAGAAACAGATGAATTATCAGAATACAGGTGGAATCTGAATAGTTTGCTTTTAAAAGAGCTAGAGTTTTCAAAAGAGCTAGAAGGAAATGGGCCAAATCTAGATCTGAACATTGAAAGCTATAGAGAAGCAGATAATGCTGAAATTTCAGTAGATAAAATAGGACTAGAAAGATAATGGATTTCATGGATTCAATGAAATCCATTAAATCCTGTAAGATGGTCCCTCTGTTACTAGAAATATTCAGGGGTACATGATGTTGACTTATGGGCACGATTTCCAAGCATTTTATAGTGCCTCAGAAAGAGTACTTAAGGTAAGTTTTGAATTTCTTTTTTACAATGAGTTCTCATGAATTAATTTCTTTTATAATAACAACAACTTTTTTTACATTTTTTTAAGATTTTGGTGGAGGCTTCAGTGGGAGATGGCTTCACTGGTGACATTGCGATTGATGATTTGTCATTTCTGGACTGTACACTTTCCCCTGGTAAGAAATACCATATTCATATTTTAGTATTTATAAATCTGTTTATTGGAAAGGCTTCAAACAAAATTAATTTTTAGTTTCCACAAACATTCCAACATAATCTCATTTTTATAATCTTTCTCAAATGTATTGACTTTGGAAAAATATTAAAAATCTTTGCTCGTAATCAGTCTTAAAATAATTTTGTACATAGTAAAGAATTTATATCAGCTGTAGTTTTATCTGTATTATCTGTATGTGAAGTACTAGGAAATTGTGTATAAGTTCAAATGTTATTTTAAAATTGAGCTAATTCCATCACATTTAAAAATATATACTAACAAAACTAGTTATCTTGTAATTTAGTAGCTTTGGAAATTTTAATAATTGCTTGGTCACCTTCCAAAATATTTTTATTTTCAGACTACATTTGAAATATTCCTAAGAATTGTTCTCAAACATTTCCTCTCCATACTCTGGATTTTTCCATTAGCAAAAGCAAATACTTGTTTTCCATATTTACATCTTCATCCTCAATATGTTCTTGAATGAGACCAGTTATAGTTAGCTATTTCAAAGAAATAGATAAGAGGACGAAGAACCTCCGGGTCCGGGCACATTTCTTTGATTCCACTGTTCTTCCTGCATTAACATATGCCTCAGAGACCTGGGGGGCCCTATGCAAACAGGATGAGAACGCTATTCACTTCTCCCAAAGAAGAATAGAAAGAGCTATGCTTGGAATATCACGTTTCACTCAAATGAGAGAAAGAATCCGGAGTTCCGACATCCGTCAACGATCAAGAATCAGGGACGCTGTCTCATTTGCCAAGGCGTCAAAAATCAGATGGGCTGGTCACGTAATGAGATTTAAAGACGACCGCTGGACTAGAGCTGTTACTGACTGGATCCCACGGGATGTCAAAAGACCACGTGGCCGCCCACCTACCAGATGGTCAGACTTCTTCGTCAAGATCATGAACGATTGGTTTGAGGCTCTTCATGTTCCCAGAGCGAACAGATGCCATTGGGCTACACTTAGCACACGACAGGGGCAAATGGAGATGTTACTGGCGCCCGCTCGAGCAAATCGACAACTAACGGGAAGTTAAGTGATTAAGTGATCCTCAATTCATACCTATATATACACATACAATATACACACACACACAACCTCTTCTAGTACTGTAGGATGACTTTGGTTTGTCCTTTCTGCCTTGTAACAGGGAGCTTAGGTTTATTGGGTTACTCCCATCACAGTGCTCATTTCCTCTGTGTTTATTTGTAGCCTCCTTTTTTGTGCTTCCCCAACCAGTCAATCACTTTTATCTGCTAATGAAACTGTTAACTTGTAAATATTGCTTTTCTTTTCTCCTCAGCAAAGGACAGGCAGGCTTTACGAATGCTTTTCCAGGCTTCTGCCTCATCTACCAGCACTGCTGCTCTTCTCTCTTTGAGGTCTTCCCTTATCGCATCTCTGCACTGCTTTGCAAGCTCAGACGTTCAGTTGCAGTTGCCTGAGGCATACGCCAAACCATGTTGGTGAATAAGCTTAAGAGTTTTCGAAAACAGGCATTTTTTTGTGGCTATCTCTCTCTCTCTTGGCGTTCCTCAGGCAATTGTGGAGGTGCTAAACCACTCGATCATATTCCTCGTCAATGTTGTCAATGACAGCATCTTCCCATGTTGCATCAGTAGTGCCAAAGAGCTCCCAGTTGGTGGTCATTCTGGGAGTTCTCTTTTTAAACTTTGCAACCCTTTCTCCCTGCTCTGTGAAGTAGAATTTTGCATGAAGGAGATGGTGGTCCAATCCCATTTGGAATTTTGGGACAACAGCAACATCGGTCAGGAAAAATTGTCGACTGAATATGATGTGGTCGATTTTTGTTGTGGAACTGTCCACCAGGAGACTCCCATGTCCAGTGTTTAGATTCGGCATTATGGAACTGGGAGATACCATGGATGGTCTTGGTCGACATAATGAACTCAGACAGTCTCTCACCCTGTTCGTTCCATTCTAGGCCATAAGTCCTGATATGGAGTTCTTAAGTTGATCTTCTCTGTCCTATCTTGGCATTAAAATCACTGACAAAGATCTCGTAGAAGGTTTGGTCTTCTTTAGAGAACTTCTCCAGCTCTATGTAGAACTTCTCAATTTCTCCTTCATCAAAATTGGATTTTGGTGCGTAGACAACAAAGATAGAAACTGCCAGCATTGAGCCACATCTATTCAAGTATAATTGTCCAATTCAGGTTGTTAGGCATTCGAATGAATCAATGCTCATGGCCAAGTTTGTGTTGACAAGGACACTGACGCCTCTGATGCCTCTTTTGTCACATGTTCCGAGGAACAGTTCTTCTCCAGTGTCAAAAAAGGTGTGATGTGATACAAGACCAAGATGACTGTCCTCTGACTTCCTTATGGATCTGTCATGTCTTCCAGCAGGGCAATGGAGAAGATAATCCATGATTTCTACTCAAATCTCTTTGATAGCCACATCCACCTGCCCACATACCAAATTCCTCAGGATGGATATGTCATTCCCAATATTCTCCCCTCTGAAATCCTACATGCCATTTCGTCGGTAAAGAAACAAAGAGCACCTGGCCCAGACAAGGTCATACCTGAATACCTGAAGAACCTGCTGTCAGTACTCATCAATACACTGGTTCGGCTCTTCACACGCTACCTGTCTGAATGCAAGGTTCCATCCCAATGGAAAACCAGTAGGACTGTACAACTGTACAAGAAGGGAGACATCCACGACATTGGCAACTATCGCCAGATCTGCCTATTGTCTGTCATCTACAAGCTGTTCACTCGAGTCATCCTGAATAGGATTGGCAGAACACTAGATGAAGGACAGCCATGCGAGCAAGCTGGGTTCCACAAAGGATTCAGCATGATCGACCATATCCACATGATAACTAAGCTCATTGAGGTTTCTCGGGAGTTCAAGATGCCACTCTGTCTAACGTTCATTGATTTAAAGAAGGCATTGATTCTGTTGAGATGGAAGCAGTCCTTAAAGCCCTAGCCAGTCAGGGCATTCATACTCAATACATCAGGATCTTCCGTGAGCTATATTATGGATTCACTACCTGGATCTCACCATTCTACAAAGAAGTGATCATCAATGTCAAGAGAGCGGTTCAGCAGGGTGATACTATTTCACTGAAACTCTTCAGTACCACCCTTGAGAAACCTGGTAGCTGTGAGCTACCCTGGCATTGAAATGGGCCAGGCCAAAACTCCGTAATACTTAACTATAAGTTAAGAGCACGGTCATGGACAAATTCTGTCATGATCCAAAAAGTAACAACTAGATTAGGACCCTGCAAGGGTTAGGAAAGATTAATCTGGCTTGAGCACTGTCGTGTGAGATCTATAGTGAAATGTTCCCAGGAAAGCCACCCTACAAGTTTAATATATCCCTTACTGTGTCCATATGGTCACTATCACGGTCCTCCCATTATTCATCGATTTGCTCGAGCGGGCCCAGTAATGTCTCCATTGTGAGACTTGTTACTATGTTTGGCATATCGAATACGTCACCGGGAGCTTTCCAGGCTTTGCCGTGCGGGTGAGATACTCTTGGTAGCTTGCCTGGCCCTCCAAGAGGGGCAAAGGAATCGAACTCGGGTTGGCCATGTTGTTTGCTTGCAAGGCGAACACCCTACCCGCTGTGCTATCATTCCAGCCCCGCTGTGTCCATACAAAATAACTAATATTAAAATGTAGAATTAAAGGGCTGGAGCAATAACACAGTGGGTAGTGCGTTTGCCTGGCATGGGGCTGACCTGGGGTTCGATTCCCAGCATCTCATATAGTCCCCTGAGCACCGCCAGGGGTAATTCCTGAGTGCAGAGCCAGGAGTAATCCCTGTGCATCTCCAGGTGTGACCCAAAAAGCAAAAAAAAAAAAAAAAAAAAAAGAAAGAAAGAAAGAAAGAAAGGAAAGTAGATTTAAGATGTTAATTGTCACTGTCACTGTCCTCTCACTATTCATCGATTTGCTTGAGAAAGCACCAGTAATGTCTCCATCATGAGACTTGTTGTTACTGTTTTGGAATATTGAATATGCCATGAGCTTGCCAGGAGCTTGCCAGGCTCTGCCATATGGGCAGGGTACTCTCGGTAGCTTGCCGGGCTCTCTGAGAAGGGTGGAGGAATTCAACTCCCCCCCACCCTCCATTGACTTTGTGCATGAAAAACGCCCTATCTGCTGTGCTATGGCTCCAGTCCCCAGATGTTAATTAAGTTGTTTGTTAGTTAAGTTATTGGACTAAGAAAAGGAGAAGACCCCCACAAGTGGCATTTTGCCCTTGAGCCTGATCCCCTGTCTGCAGGGAATCAGGAAAAGCTTTCATATATTGATTGTGCTACCCAACCTGGGTGTGTGGTTGCTACTGCCAAAGTTTGGAGTTGGGGAGAGAATAGGGAGAGACCAAGGAGGCGAGTTGGAATGCTGAGAGACTAGCAAGGGGGACAACCTTCCATGTCCCTTCCCCATGTTATTTTTCTTTTCCATCACCTCTCACTGTAGATAGATTTCTGTTTTCCTCTAAAATAGCGTTAGTTTCAGGAGAGTAGGAATCACCCCCATTGCATTATCACAGAGTTAAAAATAATATTCAACACATCTGGTACTCATTCATTACTTGTTGTGTAGATGGGTGGATAGATGGACAGATGTTTGTTTCTTCAAAAATTAAGGACTTTTCTCTCCAAGATATTTAGCTATATAGCAGTCAACTTTAGTTGGGAGTTAAATTTTAGTGATGTACAACCATTAACATGTATTCCTTGCTCTCAAGTATGTGGGTTGGCATAGAAAGTATAAGAGAAGTTATATGCAGTTTGTTCATGGCTCTGTTTCTTTGCAGCTCCAAGCTATACATCTTTTTATGTGCCCTTGGAGGGACCAAGGCTGATAGAGTTTGTCCTGATCTAATACATTGAGTTGTCAGTTCAGAGGTTGGGGTAAACTGTCATGATCAGTATAATTTCTGCTGATGTCT